GTTTACATCATTGTTATACTATTTTCCATTTTAATTTGGAGTTTACATGGAGACACTTTTGCTCAGTTTGGGTATAAATGTTGAATTATGCTGGCCCTAGCTAAATATAATTCAATTTTAGTGTCAAATTTCCTATTATCTCTTTTCTTTATAACCCTCAGATTCCAGTGACAGATGCAGGGCCAAGTGTTCCTCCTCCTCCTCCTTCTTTTTTACCTTGTTGTCCCCATCCCTCCATCTTGTGCAAGATAAGGATTATGTTTTGCCTGTTCTTGGGAAAGAAGGGATAATGTCTAATCAGTCAGTATTAGAGAATGAGTTCTTGTGTCAGCTGGGTGACATTGGACAAGACACTTGCTCTGAGCCTCAGCTGGTTGATAGGTTTGTTTTTATCTTTGACATTGATAAGAGAAGGTGTTGGACTCCAAGGTTCTTTCCATTTCTAAACCCTGTTCTATGTTCTGTAACCTAGTACTCCTCCTGAGATGTGAGCTGGTGCCTTGGCTCTATTCTGGGTTTCCACTGTGAGCCTAGGTAACTGCTCCATGTGTAACAAGTCAAGCCAGTGGGGAGGCCTAGAGAGCTCCCACAGGTATCAGCTTCTCTGAGTAGCTGTGAATTCAAACTTTCTGTTGAAATTACCATATCACCCTGAAGGGATACAGTGTTGAATAAGAGCTCTTATTTATCCTTTACTTTCATTCTTACTCAGCCTTGCTGAGGGTGAAATTATTTTTCTTCTTCCTCTTCCTCCTTCCTTCTTCTTTCTCTTCCTTCTCCTCCTCCTTCTGGCTATAATTGTTATTTTAATATCTTTTATTTTATAATGATATTTAGTTTATAGAGAAGATAATTGTTTCCCTTATCAACATGTTAGAATGGCATATGTGTCAGAGTGAAGAAGCAATATTGATACATTATGATTAACTGAGCCCATGCTTTATTCAGATTTCCTTTGTTTTTACCTAAATTTCTTTTTCTGTTTTAGGATCCCATCCAGGATAACACATTATATTTAGTTATCATGTCTCCTTAGATTCCTCTTGTCTGGTATTTTTTTTTTCATTTTTTCCTTTTCTTCAACAACCTTGAGAATTTTGAGGAGTATGAGACAAGAATTGAATTGGCATTTGTCTGGTGTTTTTATCAAAATTAGACAGAGGTTGTGGAGTTTTGGAGGAAGATCACAGAGGTAAAATGCCACTCTCATTCTGTCACATCAAGGATATATGCATTCAGCATGGTTTATGACTACAAAAGTTAACCTTCATTACCTGGTTGAAGTCGTGTTTTTCTGTCAGGTTTCCCCACTGTAAAGTTACTCCCCCTCTCCAATCCCATTCCATACTGTACCCTTTGGAAGGAAGCCATCATGGGGAGCCTGTGGAAGTTTCTTATTCATGTCACAGTCCAAGGTGTTTCTGAGAGCTATTGTCTTTTCTCCACACCAGTTATTCAGGGACCCAGCATTCTTCCATGCTTTTGCTCTGACATCCTTGAGGGCTTTGTCATCTTAATCCAGCCAGAGTTAAGGAAAAGAGAATGTGGAGGAGAACGTTTGCTTTTAAAAGTCTTGGCCTGAAAATGGCACACATCACTTCCACTTACATTCCATATGACACTTATTCATCTGCCAAACCTAATTGCAAGGGAGGCTAGGACATATGGTCTAGCTGGGTGCCCAGGAAAAAGAGGAAATGGATTTGAGTGAAATGCTAGCAGTATGTGCCATCCCACTTTACAGAAGAAAAGGTAACAAACCAGCCTCTAGTAATATAGCCATCAATATATGTCTTTTTTTAAAAAAAATGCAATAGAAGAACTTAATGTTAGAATCAAGGAAAGTCATTTAAATTGAAAAAAAAAACTAGCACAATCAAAAACTTATTCCATTGACTGTATTTAATGAATTTCACTGTTGCTGTGTGAATACTGGTTAAGAACAGATACTTTCATGTCAGCATTTAAATACTTCTGCCCTATATTCTACCTGTTCTAGACTCTGCATTATTCCCAGAGTCTGCTCTGTCTTCCTGTCTTGAATGCCTCCCTCCCCCCAGACCCCAGGAAAAGCCAACTCATTCCTTAATTCCTCAAGTGACAGATGGGGTATCTTAGCTTAAGTCCCTGCTCCTAAGGACTATCAGGACACTCTGCTTCCCTCTCTCATCTAGCATAGGTCCCCTGCTAGTGCTACTAGTGTTAACTATCATATGTTTTGTTTTTTTGACTGAGTGCTCCTTGGGGATTCCATAGATTTTACAGGTCCCTGGGCAGAATTGGACAAATAATATGCATGTTTGTTGAAAGTACCCAGGGTGTAGGATGCTAGATATGCTAAAAAGTCATTTCATGGTTTTAATTCCTTTTTGAAAAAAATAGCAAAACATATTATTTTCCCATCTATTTTAAAAGAGTTCTTCACTTATGTTGTCAGCTTTTGTGAAGGAAGGGATCTTGGGCTTAGTCTGGGAAGACTGGTAGAGACTGACAGATGGGAGTGAGGCACTGGCCCATCAAGTGGGCAGTGTAACTTTGAGTGACCTGTCTGAGATTCTAGGTGTTTGTTCAAAGGATGGCCAGGTCTCCTGTGAAACTTCAAGAGGTTCACTTTTGTAGATCATCACATAGTTACAACTCAAATTACTGGGCTTGTTCTGGCATTGATCTCAGCACTGGGGGTTGGAATAAAAGTCTAGTGCTCATTATCCTGAATAGGAGTTACCAACCTGAATTCCCAGAGTCCCAATAGGGGGATAGCTTCACCACGACAAAAGAAGTGTTTAATTACAGGTAAAGAAAGAGGAGCCTGAAGAAAACAAACATTCATTTGCAGGCTTTAATGACTAAGCTGCCATGCCTTTCATTACCAACAAAAGCATGACTTTCTTCATGAATTAAGAGGTGGTTGCCCCTTTCCTTCTTTCTGCCACTTTCAATCCTTTATTCTCAGTCCACTGTTACTGGAGTGGCTTTCCAAGCTCAATCAGCATTTTACTAAAACAGAAACCAGGAGACATGGGGTCTTCTCTGTGTTATCCCTTCATTTTATCTGCATTGTTTCTTTGGTTTTTATAGTTGAAATGTCAGACCTTAATTAGAATTCATATTTTTATATGGTCTCATACTATCACATTGTTATTCATTTGAAGTTCTCAAAGATTAAAATTAGGGTACAAAAAAATTTTTTTTCATTATGTAGATGCAAACCCTGAGACCAGGTATTCTGTGATTTTCTCATGACCCCAAAGGCAATTGGAGTTCAGATTTGGGTCTTCTGACTCCGAATTTGGAGCTGAGTATGCTACATCAGAAGCTGCTGGTCAGCCAGGGAGCTTCATGCAAAGGCTCCCCTCAAGTTGTTTGCTGTGAGGTTAGCTCCCTGTGTGTTTCTCTGACATGGACTGTTGTGTGGGATTAGGTGAGTCTGTGGAAGAAAAAGCATTACACAAGGTCTGCAACCACTCAGGGCAGAGGATTCAAACATACTCAAAGTGAATAGAGACCCATAAAGGGACCTAAAGATCATTTAATTTAACTTCTGGATTTCATTCATAAGGAAAATGAAGTCCACAAATTACAAATTGAATTTACTTAATTCAAAAAGATAATGGATAGCTACTGTTTAGAATGCCTAGTTTCCAGTTCAGTTCTTTTTTTCATTAACCTTCTTCCTCATTCACAATTTTCTTGTCACTTCTCTTGCTTTATAGAATTGCTTGGAAGAAGACGTGACAATATTGGCATGCTCAATTTGGGCAATGAAATGGTGGTTCAAAACTCCTCCCATAGACATATTATATCCACAGAGCTAAACATATCCAGTCCTTAACTACAATCCCTTTTAGACCTAAATGTGAATAAATGTGTTCTGTTTAATACACACTGCCCAGCATTTTGCCTGAAAGGGGGAAACAAAAAAAGACATTTGTGGTAAATATGGTTTGAATAAATGGCAAAGATGAAGTTGATAGGCATGAATTCAGTGATTGTCCTTCTGAGGTTATTATATCGCTATGTCAGCGTTCACATGATCTCCATCTTGCCTCAGTTTTTTATCACCAGAAGCAGCATTTTTCTTTTTCTCCTCATTTTTTATGAAATAATTAGGGCTATAAATGCACTAGAATAATTTTCACCCAACACCAGAAACCAAAAGATGGTGACTCTGTGGAAACTAGATTGTTGCTGGCAGCCAACATCACAATGAGAAAGCTTTAAATATTTATATTTAGCTGATGAACAAATATCCAAATGTGGTATATAAAAGCCAGTTTGATGATAGTTATGTGTAGGGAGTTTTAAAAGTGAAGATATTTGGTTTGAAATTTTTAAAGAAATATGCAGGATTTTATTTATTTAGTTTGGGTACTAGAAAACGACTTTTGCAGAACTGGGGCTCTTCCTTGGTGAAGTGTTTAGTTAAGGTGAAATCTGTGTCCCCTCATGCTTTCCAATGACATCTCATGGTCATGGGGGTTTGCTGGTACCAATAATTCTCATCTAAGATATTATTTTTTCTGGCTAAATTAGATCAGAATATCAAAACCCAGGAATTTCTGATGGATATTTGACAGACAGCAGAAATAGAAGCCTTACACTGCCTGATCATGGCTGCTGGAAGCTTCTGAGGAATTACAGTAGCATTTTGGCTTAAAAAAATGATTCTGGAACAGGACCATAAACTTGGTAGTATCTTGTAGCCATACACCAGATGCAGAAGGGAAGGGAAATAATTCACTTATTAGTGTGTCTCTGTATTTTTCTAATCATAATTAACATTTATTTATTTATTTACATTCGATACTGATGCAAAGTATTTTGGTTCTGCTTCTAGAAGTATAGATATGTTACTGAAATGCCCCCCTTACAAATACTAATTCCAGTTTATACCATCGGCATTTATGCATTTACTTACATAATGTGTTTCACAAATTTGCAATTGTGCATTTTATAAACAAAATTAAAATTTGAATAATTATTTCATTTTTGTTTTTCAGAACCCCAGCTGAAAGGAATTGTGACAAGGTTATTCAGCCAGCAGGGATATTTCCTGCAGATGCACCCAGATGGTACCATTGACGGGACCAAGGACGAAAACAGTGACTACAGTAAGGAACATTAGCTTCTCGGAATATGATTACAAATCAAATGCTTAACCCAGAGTATCTTCTATTTAAAACATGGCCAGGCTCCCTTTTGAACTATTTAACTATTAGGGAGCTAGTGTCTTTCCATTTATCCTTCTAGCCATGGATTCCCTATACCAAAGAGAAAGTGTGGGAGAGAAGTTATGTACTCACTGAGGAGATAGAAGGCTTGAAGGTGTTCCATCTGATCAATAGATGAAAATTTCTTCCAATTGCAGAGATTTTCATCAGGGTAATGATAAGTACTCATAGGAACAATTCAGATATTCTAGCACAAGATGGTGTTTAGGTCCTGGAACCAAATAGTGAATATAAGTTATAATTTTTAGAATATAATTTCTGGAAGGTAAAAATTATTTCTTAAGACAAACATTGAATGCACACATATGTGCATTATACGTTAAATCATTTTGGTTAAAAGTAAAATTAAATAAATAATATGTATTTATACATTATGATTTTTCAACAGTATATACAATAGTAATAAGATGATAAAGATTGGTATATCTGATATGGAATTTTAAAAATAATTTTTGAGCCTGGTGTGGTGGTGCATGCCTCTAATCCCAGTGCCTCTAATCCCTGTGTCATCCATGTTAATTCTGAGATACCCCTACTTCACAGTTTCCTTTTAAACAAATGAGGTAGGAGGATCACAAGTTCAAAGCCAGCTTCAGCAACTTAGCAAGGCCCTAAGCAACTCAGGGAGACCCTGTCTCTATATAAAATACAAAGAAGGGCTGGGAATGTGGCTCAGTGGATAAGCGCCTAGGTTCAATCTCTGATATACCCCCTAAGAAAAAATCGAAATAAAAGTGCCAAGTATTAATATATTGATAATAAAATCCATAAAAATAGTTTTTAAGTAGTTTAACTTTACAGTTGAGAAATCAAAGTATGACATTGTGTTTGCATTTTAGAAAAAAATTCAAATACAGGCTTGAGTCAAGGGTATTTCTTATATATTTCAACTTCTTCATAATCATACAGATACCTCTGGGTAAATTCATATTACTCTAAACTTATTCTGGATGCTGTATTTTTCTTAAGTTTATTTATATTAACTTTTAGATCTTTAGTGTTGGACACATAGTAAGTATTCATTAATATCTGTGCAGTAGAGTTGGACTCTGAGGGTTGTGATTTTGAGGTCAAACTGAAAATATAAAAAAACCTTCTCAGCCAATGTAGGAAAACTGATGTTTCACAATGATATAGCCTCTAAATTAATCATAAAGATTTGAGGAATGATTCAAAGTCCTTAAAGTGTCAGGATACTCTCATTCACCCCTTCTGAATTTTCTTTGTTTGCTTAATATTGAACATTACAAAATATGAATTACAATAAAGAAAAGATCTTATTATGAAGAATTTCAATGCAGTTTTCTTGCTGTCAGTTTTCAGCAAAGTAGTTGATTAGCTTATTGTGTTTTGCATTGTTAGTTTGTATTTATGTGAATGAATTCTTTAAATGATTCAAGTTTTCAATTCAGTATAGAAAATAAGAGTATTCTTCTCTCCATGTAAGATTGGCATCTACTGCATCTGTACTTGAATGTTTAGGGAGGATGTAGGGAGGATTCAAGTATAAAGGAATCAACCCACAGCTTAGCTGTGTCACCCATATTAATTCTGAGATATCCCTACTTCACAGTTTCCTTTTAAACAAATGAAGTGACAGGACATGATAATTATATCAATATTCTCTATTTGCATCATCCTCCCAGATCTTATATATACCTACTTATACATACATACATTTATATACATATACTTTTGTATATATGTATATGTATGTATATATTTGTGTGTGTGTCTATATATTAAGTTAATGACTGACACGTATGTACCCTCCACATACCATACTGAAGATGATGGATGATGCCTTTTGTCACTGCTTTTAGCAAGTGTCTGAACTCAAAAATTTAAACCAATTTTTTATTGTGATGAACTCCTGCATACACTTTTTGATAAATTGTTCTTAAAAACAGTTTACATGTACAAAATAAAAGGAATAATGTACATTTAATTTGGATACACATCACCAATTTAAAATTAATTAAAAATTTCAATACATTTGAACTCCATGTATATATATTGGTATAATGTGTACTGTCATTCATAATATTGTTATATATACTTTTAAACGTTTTATAAGTGAGAACATTGTCATATATATCTTTTATGTACTTCAGCCTTAATATTATAGTGTGAGGTCTGTATAGGTAATATACTTTATCTACTTTATTTTTGTAAAATATTTCACCATATGCATATAGCTAAATATAGCTATCCATTCTTCTTTGACCAATATTTTAAATTTCTATTTTAAGACAATTAAAAACAGGCCACCAAGATCTTTCTTTCATCTCTCTTTAAAAAATGACACACATCTCACCTTGGCACTATGTGTTCTGATATTCCCCTCAACAGTGTTAGTCATCTTTCCATTACTGTAATAAATACCTGTAAAAATCCACTTAAAAAGAAGAAAGATTTATTTTGGTTCACAATTTTGGAGATGTCAGACTATGACTGTTAACCCTATTCCTTTGGGCCTGTGGTGGCACAGTACACTTTGGTGGGAGCATGTTGCAGAGGAGATCTTCTTACCACATGGTTGGGATGTGTAAGAGAGCAAGGAAGGGCCAGGGTCCCACAATCCCCTTCCAGCACATGCTCCCAAATGACTGGAAGACCCTCCCAACTAGGCCTCAAGCCTTTAACACATTGGCCCTTGGGGGACATTCCAAATCCAAACTATGGCACTCATGTTACTTCTTTGCACCACTGCTGAGAGCATTAGACATATATGTTATTGTTATTTATTTGTTTATTTTTGTCCCAAGCACATGCAAGTTCCACAAGAGGAGAGATTTTGTTTTGATCTTTCATGTGTATTTAGAATGATCACTTCTACTCAGTAGGAGTGAAATGGATGAATTAATGAATGACCATCTCCCCATGAATATGTGAAAAAATTTTTTCTAGGTTATTGGCTAAATACTTTTCCCCACCCACATGCTTTGCAGCTGTTTCTTTCAAAATCATTTTAGATTTTAGAAAAATGACAAAGTAATATAGCAAGTTCCTTTACATACTCTCCTCCCAGCTTCCTGTAATGTCAACACGTCATGTAACAATACAATTGTCAAAACCAGGAAATGAACACTGTTAAATGCTATAGCCATTTCTTGAGTTATAACCTTCATTCAGATTTCACCTTTTCAAGTGTACTGTATTCTGACCCCTCTCCTACAGATTTAATAAAAAACTTCAGATGAAAATAACTTTTATATATACTTTTCCTGAGTGAAGATCAGGGGTAAAAAATATCAGAGTGATATTTAAATCCTACTCATGTTTTTTAATAGAAAAATTATAAGCCTCTAAGTTGTTAAAATGCCTTTTCTTTCTCCACTTTGTGTGGGTGGAGAGTAAAAGCAGTTGATTGTTTGAAAAAAAAAATCTTGTTACTATGAGCATCTGTCAGAAATGTGTTGTTTGGTTCACCAGATATCATTAGGTCCAACTAACTTCACCATGGTATCTTGCACAGAATTGATAAAGGCACCTGTTCTTTTGTTCATGAAGAAAAGACTAATTGCATGTAATTGAGTACAAACACAAATGGGTTTGTCAGCAGTAACAGATAAAAATCTCTACAAATGTAATGATAACAAAAAAAAATTGCAGAACTGTGTCGAAACCCTGGTACAAAAAAGACATTTGCAGTTTGGAGGGTATTAATAGGAATATTTTACATAAAATTGAAAAGCTAATTATTCTGCTCCACAAGCTACCAAAGAAGAGACATTTGAAGAGGTTAAAAACGCTAGGAAGACAACAATGAAGATATTTTAACCAAATGTATTGTTCTCCTCATCTGAACAAAGATTGCTAAGAGCCCTTTGACTGAGGAAGGGGCTGCCTGATGAGTTAGTGCTGTGGTTAAACTGGGGAGAGGTTTTCAAGAAAGCCCCTGGGGCATGGAGGGAGAAGCCCTTGGTGGCTGGAAGAGTCTCAGAGTTCAGTGACTTTTTTATTTTTTAATTTATTTTTTTGTGGCTGTAGATGGATAGTACATCTTTATTTATTTATTTATTTATTTATTTATTTATTTATTTATTTATTTATTTATTTATTGTTTATTTTTATGTGGTGCTGAAGATCAAACCCAGTACCTCCTACGTGCCAGGCAAATGCTTTACCACTGAGCCACAACTCCACCCCCAGGGTTGAGACATTTAAAGTCCCCTCCAGTTATGAGGAGTTTCTTTTGAAACACATATTGAATAGGTAAGATAAGTGTATGTGACAGCCAGGTGCTGGCTTGGCAATCTCAAAAAATCAGACAAGGCCACTGTGAAATGTGGATCAAGAAAAAAAGCAAAACCACTCAGGAATCACGTGGTCAGAACTACAAAATGACCAAGTCTTTCTCTATCGTGGGCTGCTATGTGAGTGGCCACTGGTGCTTTACCAAACCTGGCTTTCCCCCTTGCTGTTTTTCTTGCCTTCTAGATAAGATTATCAAAATACCCAACCTTAGAATCACACCTACCTTTTCAGAACACCAGTCTGGAGCAAAGGCACAGTTCTCTGGAGCTCTCCCTCAATAACCAAACACACCCAAAGCCTCTGAGTCTTTTCTTTCATCCTCTTGCTGAGATGTTCCTGCTTTTGCCATGATGTATGATACAGAGTACATAATCTTGTTACAGAGTAGATAAACCCAATTTGGTCAATCACAGTTTTGTTTCTGATACTTTTTGGCTAGAAGGTGTGGACACAGTCAAAACCACTTTTATTTCTTGAACCCCTTCTACTACCTGGCCACATTTCTGGTCTGTTTTTGAACATATTCTGTGCATTTGTCACTTTATAAAAATTGTTTCTCTCTCTCTCCCCTCCCTCATCTCTCTTTCTCTTGTTTGTTATATTTTTATTTATAATGAATC